TGTGGATAATACCACTGTCTTGGGAAATACCTACTGAGAAAACAAGCCTGGTTTTGCTTTCAAAGGACAGCCCTTAAAATACACCGGGCAGAAGGGATGGAAACTGCAGCAGCATCTCCTTCATGGACTAACCCAGCTGAGAACACAAGGCTGATGTTAAATTCCCACCCTCTGGAAGCAGTCAAACCTGCATCTCTTCCAAAGAGATCACAGCCACCAGGATGCATCAGGCAATCCCAGATCTGAGGAGGAGAACAATCCCGTTTGGCTTTTTTCCTTCAGGTACTAGACCGAAACAAAGGAACTGAATGATGGGCTCAGGGCAAACAGAGGGAAAGGAGGGTGGAACAGGCCTTTGGGGACACAAAGAAGGAGCCGTGGCCTTGAAAACCCTTTTTATGTATTGGGAAGAAAGCAAAATTTCAGAGGAGGTGTGATACCTTTCCCTAATCCCACCGAGAGCACACACACATGGAAAACCCCAACAACTAAACCAGACCTCTGAGCTCTCCTCCTTTCACAGGCACATCAGCAACCACATCTAGGTGTCTCCTGGACTCTTCAGCCCTGAGCTCCACCTTCCCTCTCCCATGTTCCCTCCTGAGCAGCAGCCCAGCTTTGATGAGAAGAGACATCTTCTCTTGGTTAAAGGACCCAGGAATTTGGCAGTTGGATGTGTGGCTTTGAATCCACTCCCAGAGAGGCACAAGCAGTCCCTAAAATTCAAGTTTCCTGAGGGAAGAATGGATTGCTGAGCTGTTATAAATAAAACTAGGTGGTGATACCCCAGCTTGGGTCTCCAAAGAAAGCCTGACCAGGATGGTGTGACCCCTTGTTTGCTGCCATTCCCTGAAATTCCCTGCAGTGAACTGAGGCCCTCAGGGCTTTGCTGGAGGAATGTTCTGGGGTTTATGCAAGTCAAAGCAGTGCCAGACCAAAGACTTTTGATGAGTAGCAAAGTCTTTTTGGGTGTTGCTAAGGAAGAGGTCCTGGAGAAGAAAAGAGCTGATGCAAAACCATCACCAGCACAAAGGTTTTCCTGTTTTTTCTCTCAGTGGTGGTGGGATTCCCAGCACCTTCAGGATGGAGAAACAAACCCTTACAGCCTTGGAGAATGGTCTTTGTCTCAGTAGACACCCAAAGGGTGCTGGTACTGCTCTGAGAAGCTCCACTCTCACACTGACAAGGAGGAACCACCTTTAGACGTGGAAAACACAATTTTTAGACAGGGCCAAAAATATGAGGGCCAATATTTGAGAGATATTTGGGAGACAGCCCCCACTGAAGGTGTGAGACTGACCACATTTATGGTTAATTCTCATGAAATGCTGGAAATTCGGAGACAAAAGGGTTTATTGCAACTGCTGTGACAAGAACTGACCAAATTCATTTGGAACTTGCTACTTGGTGTGTTTTTTACTCTGGACTTGAAGATTTTCAGCAAAATCAGGTGGCTGAAAACAGCCAACAAAAGTTCATCTTGCCTTGACTGTAAGAGAAGAAATCTTTGATAGTATTGCTACTCTTTCTTATGGACTTCACAGACTTTTTGTACCAGACCATCAGAGCAAAAACTGTGGTAAAGGCGAGGTGGCAACAGGAAGGGCAGGATTAAAGAAAAAAAATCAAATTAGAGGTAAAAGGAGAACAGCCAAACAGATAAAGAAAGGCTGAAGTTCCTAGGTTAGCACAGGTCAGATCAAAGGTGGGTAATTATTACTGAGAAAATTACCAGCCTGGCTCAATATTTCGAACTACCATGATAAGTTTCTCTGTGTTTGTTTTTCATTAGGAGGAGCAAAGGGCACCCGCAGCCCTTTCAGCTCCTGAGGGTGTGTTGCTCCTGATTCACGTGCAAACAGGGATCTGATGAGCTGAGGGCTCCAAGAGTGAGAGCTGTGGACCTGCTTGGAGGAAAACCTTCCCCAGTGGGGACTAAGGGGCATCAAGTTTGTGTTAGACCAGGCTGGGGTGACCCAAGGCTGCAGGTTTGTTCTCCTCTCAGGTGTGACAAAGCTTGTGGGGGTTATTCCAGGGTGTCTCTGAGATGGCTTTGGGGAGCTGGGACTGTCCTAAAACTCTCCCCAGCTGCTCATCCCTGAGTTGGACTGGCTGGGATGTGTGGATTTCTGAGCGGCAAACAGTGGGATTAAGGAAAAAGGGTGGAAAATGGATATCTCAGCAGCACTAAAATGAGAGCTAAACCCAAATGTTTGTTGAGGCAGCCCGGAAGGGTTGGTTCCACAAAAAACAGCATTTGTTTTCCTCCTGTGGAATGAGATTGATGCCCCACTGGTGCTCTGGGCCCTGCAAGCAGGAAGAGGTTGCTCAAATGCAAGAGTTGTGGATCCCTGGAAGTGTCTGAGGCCAGGCTGGGCGGGGCTTGGAGCACCCTGGGCTAGTGGGAGGTGTCCCTGCCCGTGGGACTGGATGAGCTTTAAGGTCCCTTCCAACCCAAACCATCCTGGGATTCGGTGTAATTGGATTTCCCAGGTCTCTGGATGATGGATCAGGCTTATCCCTGCAGGAATCCTCGTGCAATTGAAGCCAGCCCTTATTTTTTTGATGCTAAGCAGGGTCTGGCAAGTGCAGCTTGGTGGTTGCTGCTGTGAACCTGCCCAATTCCCCCCTCAGGTTTTTCCTGCCCTGGCATTTTGCCTGCCCAGGATAAGAGAGGATTTAGTTTGGCCAGCAGGACTTCAGAGGAAAAACAACCCACAAAAGCAATTCTGTGAGCTGGAAAGTAATTGAAATCTTTGTGAGGGCAAGAAGCTGCAGGAAAGGAGATCACACAACACAGATCATTCCCTAAGCTGCAGCTCTTTCCTAAGCTGCAACTAAAAATGGTATGAAAATGATAGTATATTATCCTGAAATTAATGACTATCCTAACAGAAAGGTGACATTTAAGGCTGTCCAGGTAACTGTAATTGGAACTAGCTTTTGTAGAGAAAATATCAGTGTATTTGATATTTCTAAATAAATATATTACTCCTAAACCCTTCATAGATTTTTGTCCACAGACCTCTATCAAATATAAGTGCCTTTAGACTCACGTTAGAGAAGTAGTTTTAATTTAATTTCTTTTTAAATTTTAGTTTAACCAGAAGACGAAGTTCCCATTGAAAGGGAACCTGAGGCAGGAGGGGATTTTTGTGGAGGAACCTGTGTTTTACAGCTTCCTTCACTCTCTCCTCTACAGACCATGGGAGGTGCAGGGATGTGGGGAGGAGCAAATCGAAGGGGCCAGGGCTCAGGGTCTGAGTTTACTTGGCAAGTGGATTTCTGGCCGTCAGTGAGTATGGAATTGCTACTGAGAGCCAGGAAAGGTGCAGGTCAAGAGAAATGCAGCCTGAAGCAGCCAGTCTGAGTCACTTGAAGTGCAGTTTGTCTTCCTTGAGGCCCAGGCCTGCAGCCTCATGTTCACCCACCCCCTCTGAGATGATTCTTACAGACCTTGGGGTCTCGCAGAGTCACAGAATAACCTGAGTTGGAAGAGACCCACAAGGACCTTCAGGGCTGAATCTTCAGTGACTGAATCCAGGGACTGACCTCACAACCCTGGCACTATTGTTTGTTTATTACTCCCATGATAATATTTATTCTTGCCCTACAATATTATTGGTTTCTGAACAATAATGACCAACCCAGGGCTTACCAGTGTGTGTGAACAGGTAGATTTTTTTCCCCTCCCCTCTGGTTCACTTCACACTTGTTTACTCTGTGCTACATTTCTACCTCCTTGCTAGGCCCTGTTCCAAGTGAAATAGGAGCAATTCCTCTGCTGCCTGTAGAAAATGGGGCTAAAAAAAGGCAGAGAGGAGGAATACACAAGGTTTTGCCAGGTCTGGAACATGTGATTTTCACCTGCTGAGCGTGTGAAGACAGAAGGTGGCAGGTAGAGAGATAAAATATCCGGTGATATATCATTCTGTAGAAAATGAGGGCAGGATGGCTCTGCCCCTGTAGCAAACTTACAAACTCCTTGCAGCTCTAAGATCCTCAACACATAAAGTAAATGTCATGCAAACAGCAAGAATTTGCCTATTAAAACTCAAACTAGTGCCCCTCTTTGAGTCTTAAGTGAAAGAATGCCTTAGTTAGAGTATTATTCTAATCTTCTAGTTTATAATGTTGTTCTTAGTTGTCAAGTTTATTCTTATTTATCAGGTTTAGTGGGCTCTGCATAAGCCTGTCAAAGAGCATGAAAGAAATCGGAAAGAAGAAAGCAAAAAACCACCCCTTCAGCTCAAAGACTGTGCAGGGATGTTGTGTGACCACAATTCAGAAGGGAAGGAGTAATTTCCTAGGGAAGAGATTTGTGTCCTGGAGAAAAATAATGTTCTTATTTCAGAGAACATTGTAACTATCAAAATAGATTTAAATTTCTAGCTCAGCTTTGAAAACCCTGCAGAACAATTCCGGTGAAAGCAAACGTCAAGAAATAGCTGTGAAAACCTTTTGCATTCCCCAAATACACTATTGTGGGTTGTTTCTTCACACTTCAATATGACATGTATGTTCCACGACCCCAAACAGGAATAACTTAACACAGACAGGCAATTGGTGAACTAAATAGTATGAAAGTACAACCAAAGCAAATTAACTGACGTTGCAGAGCCTGGAGTTAAACCCAAAATATGACTCCCAGAGCGTGGCCTTCAATTATTCAGTCAGATTACAGAAACATATGTCAGATTTCATTAAAATGAAATCCAAACTGGATCTGTTTGGTGAATAATACACATTCACTGAGGGCAGTAATTTGTAGCTGGCAGATGAGATCCCTGGTTTTGTGAGAAAATCCTCATTAATTCAAGGAAGTCTCTCTCAAGGTGATTTGATTTCAGCCTGTGGAAAACAACTGCCCAAAGCTGGTTGTTTTAAAGCATTCCCAGAAAAAAAAAAATCAATAACGTTAAATTTCCTGAAACAATGTAATGAATTTTCACTGGAAAATGTGGAAAAGGAAGGAAAGGAGGAAGGAAAAGGAACATTACCTTAGGCAGTGGTTTCTCCTTAGCACAGTTTATTCCTCCAATGAAGACCATGTTGGGCATCACAGGCCTGACATACTCGAACACAAAGTCAA